CTTTAGGCGCAGCTGCCAGGGTTATCTCGTTTATTGACAATATCGTTTTCGAGAGTCCACTCGCAATACATGTCAATGGATTTTTAGAGTACACCGGTGAACACATCGTTCACAGCACCTACAGGTTGCGAGCCTGCTAGTGTTCCACTGGACTGTCTAGAATAGTCTGTGGTTGTCATCCATACTCTGCTAGATGACGGGGCCATCATTTGGGTAAAAGGCTTCTCACATCGTCCACCTCTCACCCTTACCTCATGGTCTATTCTACCTTTCATCTCATCATCCGACTCATATTTCATCTACCCATGTTTTACCCAACATATTTTGTAGATATAAAGTATATATACAGTTTAAATCATTTAAAACATGTATAAAATTGTTGATCCAGCATAGACCGCAAGTATACAGATAAGATGCACACATAGCACGTAATTTATATTAAATACTTCATATCTATGTGTAAGATGAAAGTAATTATGCACTCACCTGATAAGGTGGTGACTCGGCACTCGGACAACACTTTGTTACTCTTAAAACGATTTTCCCTTGACGAAACCTAATAACATTACCACTCGGGTTTAGTCTAACGTTTGACGAGACTAATTAATAGTCTAGCTATTATTACTATTATATAGGCGTTTAAACAATACTCTTCACTCACTATGTACAGACAAGGGCCAGACATAAAACACCGGAGGGCAGGACCATTTTGGCATATAGCACTTCTGAAATCCAACAACCCTGTGCGGCCCTTTAAACCAGATTCCCCGTACCGCGAGTGGTTAAAAAGATATTATAACGACACTATATAACTCATAATAATAGCCCAAATAATTGTTATAAGGTCCTAATAACGTTACTATAATTAAATAAAAGCTATATTTACAATAGCGTAGGCGTAGCTAACTTACAACGGGTATTTATTAAAAATCGGGCTTCACGTGGAGCATCGTTTCCGAGCCGAAAGGCCCTTTTTCTCGGGACTCCGGGAGCCTCGGGGCTTCCTTCGGGTGCTAGGAGGTTTACCTAGGCTTAGGAGGGGGTTAGGGGGGTAGTGAGAGAAAGTAGAGAGAGAAAGTAGTGATGGAAGGGGTGAGAAAGCCGGCTGCCCTTGCAGCCCTTTTATAGGATGGTCCTCGGACGCATGCTGGGCGTACAGGCCTTGGACGCGGGGCATAGCCTCGGATAAGATCAACAGATGGCGCGCTTCGGATGGGGCGACGTGGCATCCTTCGGTCTGCAGAAGAGAACGTTGGGCGTTCCGAGCTTCGTACGCGGGGCGTCGGATGCGAACGCCGGGCGTCTGAGGCGATACGTAGCAGCATCTTGTGCGAGATCGTGATCAGCAAGCGACAGTTAGGATTCGGCCACGTCATCGATTTCGCATCAGCTTCGCAAATTGCATACTCGACTTCTAAAATTCATAACTTTCACATACGAGTTCCGTTTTCGACGTTCTTTATATCCACGTGTAGGCGGGATCGTACTCTACGACTTTCGTTTAGACTCCGTGGATAATTTTGACTCTATTTTTAAAGTTATATTTTTAACAGGCTGGGACACGGTTGGTCCGTTAAAAATCCATAACTTCTTATCTGACGTCTGTTTTCGTCTGTCTTTTTATCGTTACGCTAATATTAACGAGATCTTCGATTCTCGTTTAGGTTGTGTCGGCTAAAAACCGCTCGATCTAATATTCGAGTTCCGGGCTGTACACTACTAAGCCGAAACTTCGAAAAATCATAACTTCCTCATACGAAGTCAGATTTGGGCGTTCTTTTTATGGACGCTCTCGGTTTAACGTATTCTACGACTTTCGTTTAGATCGCTAAGGCTAAAAATCACTCTATCGTAAATTCACTATTTACGTCGCGTAGTGTCGTGCCGGTTCCGTCACGAAACTTCGACGGGATATAACTTATTCGTTATAACTCGGATTTCGCCGTTCTTTATATGTACGGAACCCTTGTAACATATACTACAACTTGGTTAAGATTAATCCTTCTAAATAATATTCCATCAAAAACTCATTTTTGATGCTCACTGTCTCTAAATTGACTAGCCCATCCGGCGTTACAGATGATGCATCTTCTTCTTCACAGGCGACATACATGATTTCTTTTGATGTTGCTAAAATCATCCTAGGGTTTTGTGTTCCTCGTTTTTTCGATCCCGGTAAGCACCGGCACCAATCTATAATCGATTCATGGTATGAAATTTACGATTTCTTTTGCTGAAATCCCTAAGAATCACGAGTAGGGTAGACATGACGAGAGAGAAGAGATATCAAGGCTTTAAAATCCATCGGTTTATTTTAATGTTGCTGAAATCATCCTAGGGTTTTGTGTTCGTGATTAAGGATAGTGACATTCACCGATTAAGCTCTATTCTTTTATCTACTCATCCATTTTGGAATCCAAATAAGAATCAGGAAGTATTTTATCTTTTTAGCATCGATTGCACTCAAAATTTCTATCTACTAGTTGTGATTTTGGAAGTGAATCAGAATCAAGAATCAATTTTTTCTGTTATCAATGCTTTTGAATGTTGATTGTATTGTTGCGTTTTTTGAATGTTGATAATAAAAAACATGCCTTCCAAATGTTTGATATAATGTCAAAAAGAGAAGGTTTTTGTGTAAATGAGGTAAGTTTGATATTTTAAAATTATTGGGAAGATTCTGTGAGAATATGTTAAGGTAAAGTACATACTATTTTATTAGAATTATGTTTATACTTGTGTTGAAATATTATGTTAGAAGTAAAGTAGATACTATTCTATTAGAATTCTTAAGAAATTGAAGTTTAAGAAACAAACCGAAATGAAATATTCTTTTAGAATTGAATTTAATATGTGTAGTTATGTTATTTTGGTGTTTTTATTGTGTAAAAAAAAGATGTTATGAATTCTATAAGCATATAAGTTAAAACTTGTAGGCTAAAGCATAGTTTGAATGAACATGATATTTTACACTTTCTATGGCGAATGATAATGTATTTTAGCAGAATATATTTTATGTATAAACATTCAAAAACATAGAATGTATACAATGCATTCTGTCAGAATGTCTTTAAGTATGTTTTGTTAACAACAAGTATATTTGCATAAATAGTAATACTAACGAGTAAGACATGTTATTCTTTTAGAATGGCTTGAAGAATGAATCAAATAGTGATCATACAAGAGAAAGACTAGGAACCGAGTTCAACAACAAGTATATTTGCGAAGAATTACAATCTTACGATAATACATCGCATTTTCATAAGAATAGTTGGAATCAAGTGGATTATTTGGACCATTGAAGAAGAACAAGTATTTTTGTTCAATAATTGTATATTTAAGAATGCTAATTTTTAAGATTTATTTTCATTTTTTGATGATATGTTGTTAGAATATGTATAACTATATTGAAATGTATAAGGCTGTTAGTCTATAAGAATATGTATGAATTTGTATTTAGGTTCGGATGTATATTAAGAAATAAAATAATAGACCCTCATTCTGACTTGGATGTATATGAAGAATGTGTAGAATTTTTAAATCAGGTTAATTATCAAAAATATCTGAATTGGAACTATATTCTGCAAAAATAAAATCGAAAATATCTTTACTAGTTTATTGTTGCCATTTTGCTATTCTGACAAAATAAAATCGAATTTTAAATTTGAATTAATTTTAAAAAACAGATTTTAAAAAATAAGGAAATTAATTATTCTTTAAAATCCAAAAATTTCCTTTTTTAAAATAGGTTAATTGACCAAAATATCCTTATTCTGTGATTATATGGTACATGTTACCCTATTGTAATATCATAGACTCTCATATAATGACCATTTATTTCATTAATTCTGTTGGTCGAGATTTGTGCTTACAAACACACAATATATGTTAGCAACATATGAACCTAGCCATATATATATATAGGTAGGTAGGTAGGTTCCGTTGAGATTAAAAATAAAATAGAGATTTTGAGATTCAATCTCAGCAACGTATTTCAAATCTGCCGCTCTAACCCTCCGATGTACCGGCGCGACAGGCCTGGTATAATATAAATGATTATACAGTGCCGCCCGTTACTTTCTTCCCCGCCACCATCCCCACCACCATAACCGCTGCCGCCACCACCACTACCACCATCTCTGACATCAGCCGACCCCACCACTGTCACCTCTGTTATTTATACCACCTCACCTCTGTCACCACCACCTTTTTTGCCACAAACTGTGATAATCATTTATGACTACTCAATCTGTGAACATACATATATGTATAATCATTTATGATTAGGCATATACGTATAAACATGTATAATCCTATATGATTATACCTCTTTGTCATATAATCATTTACGATTAGGCATAACCTATTGTGGCTGACGTTGAATCTCAAGATCTTTATTTTTTATCTCAAGTGAACCGTCCTCTATAGTATATATATATATATATATAGATATATATATATATATAGATATATATATATATATAGATATATATATATATATAATTTTCTGACCTTTCTAATTATTATTATTTTTCAAATATATTGATAAATAATAATAAATTTATAATCGTTAGTTAAATTAAACATGTTATTCATGTCATCTATTTGTTTCTTCAATTGTTTTAAACTTAAAACAACAAATTACTTTCCGTTTTAATACAAAACCACAAAATATCTTTATTTTTAATTCACAACACATTATTATTTTCAACTTAAAACATTAACATAATTTCATTTTTAACCATAAGTGTAAAAATATTTTTATTTTTAATTCACAACATAAAAACACTTCAATTTTAACTAAAACATTAACGTAGTTTTACTCTTAACCAAAACTGTAACATACTTTCGGGTTACAAATTGTAACCAAGAACAGTCCATCAAAATGAAACTAATCACCGACACACAATTTTTGATACATCACTAGTATACCTTACAAAAACTATTAGAAATAGATAATAGATGTAATGTAAAGTAAAACATAAGATATTATTCAAGCGTTAACACCATGTTAGCATGAATTCGACGGGGAGATGTTCAGGAGTCGGTCCTTCTAGAAAGCTTGTGTGGGAATCGGTTAGGGTTTCCCATTTTTGATTATGAGGTTGTTTTATTTGAACATTTTTCAGGTAACTAGGCCAATATGATGTTGTGGCGGCTGTCTTATTCTTGTTTCTCTCCATGACCTCTCTCAACATGAACTTGCAAAAGTGATTATTATGTTTTAACATGGAGTCTGGCCATACAGATATGTGGTCAGGATGGCAAATCTCAAAAAATGCATCAAAAAACGGGGAGCGCTCCCACATGCATTCATCCCCAATGGTTTTGAACAACAGTTGTTGCACGTTGATAGCAGGAGGAAAGAGGAGTCTTGTTCTTAGATCATCGATGTTGATCTCCAATGGCAATGGCAGGTTATGGTTGAAGGTTGTTATAATAACTTTGCACTTGCGTGATAACATGAACACTTCCCTCATCTTAAGGAAAAAATAAGCATCCAGATCGTCAATGTAGAGTCCCATCCGAAACTCAATTTGCTCGAGATTAGAGTATGGAAACAAGAGACTAGGGATTATTTGGCCAGTGAAAGAGAAAAAAAGTAATTTTGGAGCAGTAACATGTACCACGTCGACAAGCGTGGATGGGCACCCGAGCATCGAAAATCTCTTGATGGATGTAGATGTGAAATGAAAACTCCCCAACGCCCAACATGCCATATCAAGGGTCAAACTTTTGAGAAAAGGTAATCCCAATTTGATGATCATGTCTAGAGATGCATTATCTCTGATCATAACGCCACCTAAAGTTAAGTCCGTGACGCTGCTTCCTAGTGATATTGAATGACTGTTGATCAATGGTCCTCTACGTTTATCCAGTCGATTCATGATACGCACATTGCAGCCGAAAAATCTGAGATTTTGGACATGATTGATTTCAAAAGCAGTAGAGCCTCTATCCGAAGTAACTATTTGTAAATGGGAAAGACAAGGAAGGTTTTCAACCTTGATGGTCTTGAGGCCCTTTGAACATAGTATAAGCTCTATCTTCTTGAGCAAGCTACAAGAAGAAAATATGGCATGGAGTAGCTCTTCACTTATGCGCACGCAAGACAAGTGCAGTTCTCGTAGGGACACACATTTGGGATGACGGGTAGTCGTCATCCAAACAGCGGAATTGGGACACCGCGCAGCTGATACTGTGATCTTAGTTAGGTTTTTACCTGAGAGTATCTCAGCTGGCAAATGCAGGGAGGCACCGGAAGGACAGATTGTGAGGGAAAGCTCTTTAAGACAAGTTTTGGTTGCCACACTTCGGATCCATTTTTCTGTAAGAGAAGCCGCCTCCTGGTTCTCGATATCGATGTCAAGCTCAAACCTTTGGAATGGTATGTTGTCATCGAAATACCTTATCAGAGTGCGCTCCACGTCCACCAACTGCATCTTGCGCTTTCTTTCTACTTGTATATGAAACCTGAGGTTAGGGATGGTGGACCAAGCGTGTAGCCACGACTTGGACAGGACACTGGTGCAGGCCGCTTCTCTTAACGACAACCGAGATTGTATACGGTGCATCAATTCCGGAACATCTTCTAGTCTTGGACTGCATCTCCTCGCTTTTTGATTCATACCTAACATCCAATAAAAAACATCAACATCGCATAACTAATTCATACCTCAAAATCGAAAATTAATATAAGAAAAGCTACAACAAATTAATACAAGAATTTACCAGATCCAGAGATATCAACAGTAGCCAACGCCTCAATCACACAAATTTTACGGTTATGGGTATTTATGACTTTATGATGGTAGGGTTAAATTTATATTTATCTTATATTATATTTGGGCCGAGAAAACTTATAATTGTTCATGAATATGTCATTTTCGGGTCGCTAACGAATATGAAAGATTTTTCATAAATATCATTAAAAATGATATAGTTTTTCTTTTTTAAATATTCTTTTTACTATTATCTTGATTTACCAAAAAGATATTTTTTTTTTATTTTTTTTAGTATTATCTTAGCATATTTTTTGTGTCTTAGATTGTATTATCTTAATTTAATATGTATTCTCTTTGTGTTTAAGAAAATATCAATTATGAAAATTGTTATTTTTTTTTAAAAAAAAAATTATTGTTTTTATAAATTTCTTGATATCAATCAAGGTCATCAAGATCGGCATTATATATAATCGTTTACCGTTTTGCAAAATCGTCATCGGATTGATTCAGGGTCATAAGATTGATTTGGAGTCATAAATCCCAAAAACATAAAAAATACATACTCATTACATAATTTAATAATAAACAATTCAAAATGGTTTTTAAGGATTCATATTCGATGCACTTAGTTACACTGTAATATCCTGTAGCAACGACACCTATGCCGACGACAATTGTCGTTGCTATAAATGTAGCTAAGCCGACGACAAGTCGTCGATACAAGGTTAACCAACTTTCTTTGGAAAATCTATGCCGACGACACGTCGTCGCCATAGCTTCAGCAAGAACAAAAAGCAATTACGCGGTTCTTTCTAAACCTATGTCGACGACATGTTATCAATATATGCGAAAATTATAATTTTTATTTAAATACCGTGTTGCAAAAAAGGAATTATCGCCATTTTTAGGAAAGCTATAACTACTACAAGAAATTAGTGTATTACTACAAGAAATTAGTGTATTACTGGCAACAGACATCGCCGCTAAAATTAGCCTTTGTCGTCGCTAATAGTATTAGCGGCAACACGTCGTCGCTAAAACGCCGTCGTTGATGCTTTGTCGCTGAGAATCAATATGTCGCCGCTATTGCGAAATGTCGCCGCTAATAAGCAGGCGTTGCCGCTAAAGAGGTGTCGCCGCTAATAACCAACTGTCGTCATTAAAGGCGTCGTCGGTATTGCTATTTTTCCTTTTTTTATTTCACATTAAAATTGAAAAAAACTGTATAAAAAGTATAAAAACTGCTATGATCTTAATTAAGCTAATTCTACATCTGTTCATTCCAAAATATTAATCCAACATCCATTTAAAATACTCATCCAATTTAATATAATACAAAATATCGAAAATAGTACTCTAAAATACTTACACAAACAAAACATACAAAAAATGCTACAACTAGTTACTCGTCATCATCGCTCTCATCGTTTCCTCCAGTTTCATTTCGTTGTGGCAACGAACGAAAGCAATCTTCAAGTGCGGCACTATATGTCGGATCTTTTAACATTGTTTGAAGCATTTCCATCTACAAATAAAACAACATAGTTTTATAAGTTAAACCAACATTATAACATTCCATATACAATATATACTGTAACACCCATAAAATTTAAGCCAAATTAAAACATTTTAATCATTCAAAAACCATTACGTTCATACAACTCGTTTTCAAAATAGTTTAAACATCAGAGTATCCCCCAGAACCATATCATATAAATCATAAAACATGAGGAGCGGTACGATCACGCCTTCGCCTTGCCACGATATCCTGAAGTACCTGAAACAATACACTGAAACTGTAAGCCCGAAAGCTTAGTGAGTTACCCCCAAAATACCAAACACACATATCATACTCATAACATATCATAAATAGAACAGCCATGCACATCGGGTCTACTGTGTGACTGGTCCGCCCGCACCAGGCCTTCAGTCCACCTAGCCCACCCTCCGAGTCTAGCCATGTACGTCGAGTCTACAGTGTGATTGGTCCGCCCGCACCGGGCCTTCAATCCACCTGGTCCACTCTCTGAGTCTACAGTATGACTGGTCCGCCCGCACCGGGCCTTCAGTCGGCCTGGTCCACTCTCCGAGCCTCGGCACGTCTGGTCCCCCCTCTTGGGGCCTTCAGCCTATCCGGACCGCTAGCTGGGCCTTCGGAATATCCGGTCCGCCCTGGGTATGTTGGCCTACAGCACAAAGTAGGACCCGCCTCAACCCAACCCCCGTCAAACAACCATGTGCACATACAACAATTAATCACATAACAATCCTCAACCAGACAAACAGTCTAACAGATCACATAGCATATCAACATCCTAACCAGGATTCCGACCTAACCGGTCACTAGCATAACATTACCCTATATCCCGGGTACCGACCTTAACCAGGTCACTAACATAACACCATCCTAAATACCAGGATGCAGATCTAGCAAAACAATAACATAACAACAATACCCGGATTTCCATCCGATAAAGGGCCGGCCTTGGTGCCGTAGACCCTGTCTATATAGTGAGGATAACTCACCTTGCAACTGCCGAAATCCTGCAAATCTCTGACCGCTGACTCACCGGGACGCCCAACTATCACATGATAATCACCAAGTTAGAATCCAACATGACTTTCTAGGCCAAGGGCCCACAACACTCATTAAGTCCATCATCCTCTTATTGGGCCAAGACCCAAAACCAAATCCTCATGCAAAGCCCAATATTGGCCCAATTTACTAAATTGGGCCCACCTCACCAAATGGGCCTAGATCCAAGGTCCATAATAATTATTGGGTCTAAATTACTCCATCCATAATGTTCAGTCACGGCCCAAGCCCAGCTAGCCCATAAACAGCCCAATTACTCAAGGCCCAAAATTGAAAACCCAACAGAGGGCGTACGCTGGGCGTACTCCTCTGGTACGCGGGGCGTACGCACGTCTGCACCAAAAATCCTTCCATGTGCTTAATGGCTTAAGCACTTAAGCCCATATGCCAGATCTAGTGACAAAAAGGGCCTAGGACTCATAAAGTCTCAATCTTTATCCTTTTGGACGTCCATAAAGCTCTTAACTCAAGGTCTTAATCCATTAAGACCTTCCTACTTCTTACATGGGACAACCAAAGCCATTGGGACCTCATTTTTCTTACTCAAGACCTCTCCAATGGTCTGAAAGGACAACTCATCTTAACCAAAACACATCATGCATCATAATGGGGGGTTTTTGGGACAAGAATGGTGTCAAAACTTCACCACACTTAGATCTACACAAAAATATATGTCAAGCAAGAAGCTTTATACCTTTAGGAGCTCTTGAACCACCAGAAAACTTCAGATCTACACGCTGGCCTTCTTCCTCTACTCACTAGATGCAACACCTTCTTCTCAAAACACTCCAAATTCACTTCAAAAGTTCACACACTCAAGAAGTTGGCTAGGGTTTGGGGAAAACGGCTCTAAACAATGGAGGCTAGGGTAAGGGAGGGTTATGAGCTCTTAAAGTTGTTTAAATAGCCTCCACACCCGAAATATTAGGGTTTCTGGATGATAGACGTACGCTGGGCGTACATCCAGTACGCTGGGCGTACGTCGAGGGACTCCCGCGTTCATTTATTCCATTACGCTGGGCGTACATCCAACTTACGCTGGGCGTACCCAACCAAACACGTGCATGCATGCTTAGCATGCATGGGACCCCTTTGCCAAAACTTCCCCCCCTTAGGGACCATTGATGCCAATATCTTTAATTTACAATATCTCCTCTATCCTAAGTCCGTTCCCGACGAACTTTATATCCACGTAAAGGTGGCGAGAAGCCCTGCGCTTCTAGCAACACACCCTGACCCGAAACCTTCTCGAATAAAACTCATTGCCCATAAAAGAGCGAAACGCCCTTACTCTTGATCTCGGGGATCCATGAATAATTACTCTTAGAACGGGGCGTTACAATTCTCCCCCACTTAAATATGATCTCGGCTCGAAATCGCCAAATGTTAACTCTGGCTACCCAAACGTACATACATCAATACCCTTACCAAAACCAACACTCACACCTAGCCCAATCAGCCTCCGGCTGGAATACCTGGCATGCCTACGACGGGTCCGCTCATCCCTAGGATGGAATACCCTCGTATCCCTACACATGTTTGGCCCAATCAACCCTCGGGTTGGAATACTAAACACATCAGGTCCAATCAATCATAGGGTCCGGTCATCCTCATGATGGAATACCCCAGATTGGAATACCTCCACATACATAACTCAAACCCAAAACCATACTCGGAACCAAGGACCTTGTCCTTGCGTCCCCCTTCGAACTCTCCGGTTCGCCACACTTGAGTATAACCCACTCACACTTCCCTATCGCGATCTCTAGGTCCTTGACCTCCGACTGTAATATCCTTATGCAGTCCTCAGCACCGGTCCAGACTGCTCCCGAGTCTGTTATCCTGCTGAATCACCTTCCTCTGTCCCATTCCCCGATCTGGAACCACTATCCTCCTCCTTTTCCAAGGAGACAGAAAACATGCCTGCGCATCATCCAACATTGCCACAACCTCAACGGGCATCCAACCCGTATGTGCTTCCATATATCTGGTACAATCCTAGTGCTTACTACCAATAGCTGAAGCACTTTCGATCATCCATTTACTCCACTGCCTCCCTTTCAGAGGACCCACACTCCTTCCGGAGTTACATACATTTCCTTTCCAGGAAGTCTACTCCACAACCATAACCGCACTTATAAGTGCCACTGAGCTAAACTCCACTCTACCGATCCACTAACACATACAGAGTCTTCAGCATGACTGGACCGCCCTTCCAGGCCTTCAGCCTATCTGGACCACTCTCAGAACCTTCAGTATGTCTGGACCGCCCTCTTGGGCCTTCAGCCTGTCTGGACCGTTCCCTGAA